AATGTCCAAGTAGGTCACCTGACCTGAATCCCTCAATTACCCGGTTCGGGCGGAGTTCAATAGGGTGGTCTACGGTGGCGGAGAAATCGACTATCTCGCACCACATCGCGGTCGCGTGCCAGAATCTCTCGATGGCGCTCGTCCAGAAGGCTGTGGCGGAGTGTCATGATAGTATTTATATGCTCTTTAATATGGTGGTAGAAATGTCCGATCAGAATTTATAAAGTGTAACTTATAGCGCCTCGAAAGTCAATGAAGAAAAGTGACTTTTTTGGCCCTCCCCTGTATAAAAGCTAGAGAGCCGGGCGATTCTATCGTAAGTTAGCCGGGTCACGCTGCTTACGTCCCGCGCAGCCAGTCCCGCACGATAAATTCGTGCATCAACCTTGATCACTATGTCAGGCCTGTCGTGTCTCATGTTCTCCTGGTCAGAAGCCGTCGTTTTAGTGAAATATCACCTGATGCCCCTCCACTGCGTGTGGAACGTAAGTTCTAGTCTCTCTGGAACCCAGACCATACTAACGGAGCCATTGCTCATGAACGAGGCTCGAAATTGCACGAGCAGCACTAGTGGCGGTCTTCTTTAACCTCAATGGATTCATGAGCTGAGCGGGTCACTTCAATATCCAACCTACTTTCCACCGACCGTTTGTAGCTGCTTTTGAGGCTCTGACGTAGGTGGTAAGGGACTCGGAAATCCGGATGCGAAGCGAAGGTAACACCATGTGTGAACGATGGTGTATTCCATCTTCTCTTCCGCCACTTCAACCCAACTCTCCTCTACTTAACTCACATAGAGCCTTGCTACCGCGATTCTGCATGCAGTTTGCGTATTGTCTCTTCAAACACTCTTGCTTGCTTTCTCATAGTGCCCAGTTTACCTTTTCCGTAAATGATGCACGAGAAGGCATATTTCAATTTCGGGATCACCACTTGGTTATACCCAACGTCCTTTCGGCGAACCGTGAGTTCGCTGGACTAGCCGTGCTGTGGCTAAGGCCTTTCCTCTTGCACGAGATTACAGGGTCCATACTTACAAGAGTGTTTTGTTCCGCTTTAAAACACTTGTAGGAGTGCGTTTGTTCCAAGGATTCGTATGTCCTTCAATCGCGCTGTCACACTCTGTGACTGGGGCGGGTTCAAAGAATGCACAGCGCATTTGCTGGAGTTCATTCACACTCTGAGCTCTTCGGCCACTCTTTGTGTGCCCTCTTGGGCGTTCACAATATCATCCCACTTTGGCGAGTGAACAATTATGTCATTCATGTGGAGGTGATGATTGTTGTCCACAGGTCCGTCTGCCAGCGCTAACATTCCCGTAGATTTTTGATACGTGCTTACGTTATTACGTAGCCACTGCGAACTAGGAGTGATAGGCATACAAAATAGAAGAAGGCTGAGTTATTCTTTTCTCACCAGTTTGGCGTTCTCGTAGCCGCAATATCAAACACTTTGCTTTGTCGTGATGCCAAAAGAATCTATTTGTCAAGACGGCACCCCAGACCTAGCCAAGACCACTGTTAAATGGCAGCCTATTGAACACCGAATCAAAGACTTTCAGTCTGTCCACTACTTCTCAAGGCGTTCCTACAGACGTCTCATTCAAAATGTGGGCTGAGTGCAAGCATGCTAGTCTCGGAAGTCTTCCAAAGGGGAGCTTAGAGGGTCTCGGCCCTCTAAGCTCCCCTTTGGAATCATAACGATCTTTCCGCTGCGAAACACCTCGGGATGATCCTGTGCTGCGTGCGTAGCGCATCTTGGCAACGATTTCAGCCTGCTCGGGATTTCCGGTAACTTCCACCAAACCTTGGCTACCATCTGGACCCGTAGCTTTCCAAGGTCTGACTAGGTGAATATTCTCGCCCAGTCCTCCTCATGCAGGTCCAAGGCTCCTGCTTTCGACTCTTTGTTCGCTGCGAGCTTACGCTTTCAGGTTCTATGAAGGATGTAATGGTTGCGAGTCACCTTAAACGGTTTTCCATTTCACGAACTTCCGCGACAGGAATGTCAGAATTCCTCACACATGGTTCTCCAGCAACCGCGGGATAGCTCCGCTCTCGCAGACGCATTACAGCCTCTTCTTCAGTTTATTACAGAGTTTACAATACTTTTTTTGTCCGTGAGCCTAATCAGAAGTGGCCTTCGCGGTCATTCTAACTCTGTGTAACTTGGCGACACGAGGTAGTGCCTTACAGGAGCAGTTTTGCCGTCACCCCGCCTTCTATTGGGTCCGTGCGAGAGCACTGACACAGTTACGTCGCCATGGACATGGGCCTTCGGGGGTCGCCATGGGCCTAAGGGGTGCATTCCTTCTTTTTCCGCCTTTTTGGATGCACCACAGCCCCTAGAATCGCCTGAGGGATCATCTGGCGCGTTTTAAAGCTATATGGGGTTAGTTTATCGCGGAAAGTGCCTTTAAAGGCAAATGGCGATCCAATACGTACGCATGGGTGCAGCCCCAGATTCCTTTGCGCAAGGCTACCTGCTCCGGAGGGAGCACATCACCAGCGCTCAGGAGTATCTGTTGCGCTACCATGGCGGTCAGGACTTTGTAGCATGTATTTAAACATGCTATCGGACGGAAGTCGCCGGGCCCGCGGGCGCGGCGCTCCCCTCTTGGAGTCCGAGGACCAAAACTATTTTCCCTCTACACAACCATTTGAGAATGATTCTATGAGGCATACGTAGCGCATCAAGGCACCACGATTTTAGCCTCTCTCTTGCCTCTGGTATTTTCTTCCACCAGAAGCCCTGTATGCCGTCTGGGCCTGTTGCTTTCCAAGGTTTTATCTTAGCGAATATCTTCGCCCAAGTTTCCTCGGACAGGTCTACAGCGGCTCTATTTTCGCCTCTTTGCACCGAGCGAGACCACGCTTGAAGGTCGTCTGACGGATGGAAGGTTGCGATTCACCTACGATAGATTTCCAGTGCTCGCACACGCAACCGGTACATCAGTTCACCTTTCGCGTGGTTTCCTGGTTACGAGAAAGGCAGCGGGGACAGCGGGGTATCCCCGCTGTCTTTCTCGCTGGCGCCTTAGGGCTTGCTCTATTGTTTTGATTTCAGAGTTTACAACCTTCAGCTGATCCTTGAATCTTATCCGGAGTCGCTGAATGTCAACGGTTGTATGACTCTTTGTATTCGGGAAATGACCCGGTACTGCTTCACTAGGAGGCCCCCGATAGCAGTGAGACGACACTCACGAGGGTGTCTCTCAGTGCTTTCGCCTCTCTCAGTTTCTGGTGAGTTTTACCCGCTTTTTCAGCCTCGCCGTCCAACAGGATCGTTGTGATGGCTTTGGCGATGGCATACACTGCAGCGTTCAAAGCTGTCAGTGTGCGCTTATTGGTGGAGTTAGTGTGCCCCAGCTTCTCTGAAAGGATTTCATTTGCGAGCTGGAGCATGCCCTCAGGTATTTCTCCTTTGGGCCTTCTTATTGGTTGCCTGTCATGCGACTCTTTGGCTGCCTTGTAATAGGCATCGAATCGCTCTCTGAGCTTATCGCCGAGAGTCCTATCAGGTTGGCTCGTTTCCGAGTCACCATTAGGACTAGTTGACCGTTCCTCGATATGCTCAACAGGCTCCACTCCACCCTGCTGACTGTCCTGGTTAATCAGGTCAGTTTCTGTAGTAGCGGGTTGACTTTCCTCCTCCAGCGTATTTTCTGCTGGTGGGGCATTTCTCACCGTTCCTCGCTCAGTACGCCTGGCAAGGTTCGTGTAAGCAGCTTTAACCCAAGCACACACAAGCGGAGACTCAGAAAGAACAGAAGGCTGCTTCTGTTCTTTCTGGGTCTCCGCTTGTTCGTGAGCTTTCCCAGGCCGTAACCACGTCAGCCCACATTATGCGACCGCTCGCTATTCTGTGTCTCTCGACCAGTTCTGCGAGCTTTGTTAATTCGTCGGCACTCCACAATGCACCCTTATGGCGCACCTCCTGCAGTCAGTCACCTCCTGCAGTCGTGGCGTCATTCGATAGAAGACTGCTCCGCCCCACCTAGATGTCATAGCTCTAACCTGAACCTCAACAATGGGTGTATTGAAGGTTTGTCAGGATATTAGGTCAGAGATCTCATGCATGGAACTCGAACCGCTGGAACTTCGAGAGCCTGTGTTGTGCTACTCAAGTCCGAGTAGCTGCCCAGGCTTGATGGTACTTGTTCCACCTCATCTACGGCAAACCTAGTGCCAATCTCAGTTGTTTCTATGGACGACGCTTCAATGAGAACCGCACTTTCCAGCTCTTCATTTGGCAGAATCCCGGAAGTCACTTCTATGCCGCAGTCAGTACAACTGGTGTCGCAATTTCCGCGAATATGCTAGTGGTTTGTCTGGATGTAAGATGAGAGGCCTCGGATCTACGGAACTCTCATCCGGTGAAACAAGAGCCTCTACTGTACTACTCTGAACAGAGTAATCATCCGAGGCTTGGTGTCACTTGTTCCACCTCATCTACAGCAAACCTAGCACAATTCTCAGTTGTTACTATCGGCGACGTTTCTCTGAGGGTCATCCTTTGTGATCCCTCGCTTTGCTGAATCTCGGAAGTCATTTCAATGCCGCTAGACAGCAGGCAATCATCATGACTTGACAAAAAAAGGCGCGTCTGCCTCTGCCAGTACAACTGGTGCGGGTGTACTAGTAATTTGTCTGGATGCATGGAGAGAGATCTCACTTAGGGAACTCTCATCCGGTGGAGTATCGGGAGCCTCTACAATGCTACTCAGAACTGAGTAGTTACCAAGACTCGATGTTACTTGATCCACCGCATCTACAGCAAACCTAGTACTTAGATCAATAGATGCTTCGGGCGACGCTTCACCATGCCCACGGGACCATGTCTTCAGGTCATCCGTTTGGCTGAGTTTCGAAAGTCACCTCAGTGTTGTTTGAAAACAGGCTGCCAGAATGACTTGAAGTTAGTAATTCAGCCGCGTCTCCCAGCTCTATTGGCGTGGCTCGTCCCCGTCTTTTGACGAGCCTTGCGTAAGTGCCCCTAAGGGCCTCCTTACTTCTTGGCGGGTCGTTCGTACTGCGTGAGCTTTCCCAAGCAGAGCTTAGGTCATCCCACCGTACTCGCCCTTTTTCAGTTTTGTGCAGCTGGACCAACTGGACCAGCTTGTTCACTTCGCTGTCGCTCCAATAGGCACCCCTCCTACTAGAGGTGATGCCTGTGGTGGCTCTCTGCTGCATCGGTTCTGAATTCGCACTGCTTGTTTCCAAGCAGCTGCCAGGACCCATTATACCTAGCATAGCAGCGCCTTCATTTCTACAGCTGGTCTCCGGCCCAGCTACTGTTTCCTCACTCAGCCGAGTGCTTTGAGCCTCAGTTCCGGGGGGTTCCGCTTAATGCCCGTCTGTTTGCTTTGACGAGTCTGCTATAGGTTGCTTTCAAAGCGCTTCTCGTTCTGTGGGGGTCGCTCGTGCTTTCTAAGGGCTTCCCACGATTTCTCGAGTTCGACCCATTGCACGCGCCCCGTGGCCATCCTGTGTCTTTCGACCAGGGAAACCAATTTGTCTTGCTCGTGTACAGTCCAGGGTAAACTATTTCGTGCAAACGACTTTTCTCGACTTTCTCATTTGACTTTTTCGTAGCAATTGGGTTTTTACATTAAGGCGTGGCTATCCCCACCCAAACCCTCCTCCTTTTGCATCTAGGCTTGGGACCGGCAAATGGTGAAGTTTTATGGTTATCTTCATTGGTCGCCTCATCTTCGTTAGAACGAGGTTCTGAGTTGGCGCGATCACAGCTCATCCGACCATGGAGTATAGCCAGTCCTTTTGTTGGGTCTTTATTCAACAGCAGCAAGTTTTGCATCCAATGCTACCGCGCAGACTTCCAGACGTCTAACCAGCAAACCGCGGAGTATGTCCTAGTATCTCGAGCACCACGTTAACTACGCTACATTGGATTTTGCCCAGCCTTCCTATACTGTGTCCGTGACGTGTTGGCACCGAATCCAGCCGATCCCAACGGTTCCCATGCTGCCTCATCGCATGTGAAAATGCTTTGCGAGGACTTACGGCAACCTGTCACATTCACAGTGGCGGAGTTGCTTTATTTGTTATCGCAGATGTGCTCTTACTGAGCTTCGTTGGCATTGTAACTCTAGGTTACTAAGGCCAGATGTTCATCACTCAGTGGCTCTATCTGCGAAGAGGGCATCTTGCTATTGAGCATCGAGAGTTCAGTAGACAAACTTACTGAAGCTTGGTGTTCATGGCTCAATAGCTAGGCCATTTGCCTTTACACAGCGGTCTCCTCTCGGGCCGCTGTTTGGCTTGTTGCCTTTATAGAGGAATCCTTCGTCCTCTACAGGTCTTACCTTGTTATTTGCCTTTATACAGCAGTCTCTATGTAGGACCGCTATTCGGCAAACTAGCATTACAGACATCGACTGCTGTGTTTCGAGAGTTCCAAGACTAAACGTCTATCAGAACTAGGCCTTCATTACACAGCAGTCTTGCCAGCATAGCTGAAATGGTTTACAGCCTTGTAGAGGAAATCCCCTATCTCTACAAGAGCTTGTGTCATTGCCTATATAGAGGCATCCTTCGTCCTCTACAGGTCTTACCTTGCCTTTATACAGCAGTCTCTATATAGGACCACTATTCGGCAAACTAGCATTGCAGACATCGACTGCTGTGTTTCGAGAGTTCCGAGACTAGAAGTCTATCGGAACTAGACCTTCACAACACAGCAGTGTTATCTGCAATTGCTAAAGTGACCCCTCGTCTCTACAGGACCTATGTGTAGTTGCCTTATAGAACCCTTCGTCCTCTACAGGTCTTACCTTGCCTTTATGCAGCAGTCTCCATATAGGACCGCCGTTCGGCAAGTGTTGGTGCAAGATCTCTTTTGATTGTAGTCTCTTGATCACCACTCCAAGTGGTCGCGCGTCTCGGGGTGTCGCAAAGAAAAAAATAATTTTTCTTTTGAAAAAATAAGGCCCAACCAGAGAAAACCTCTGCTAGGTCAGCGCACACTAGCGCATTGTGATACAATAGAGAAAATCAATCATCAGAAGCTTTATTCAACATTAGAACGGTTAACTGACATTTCAACATATCACTTCCTTTTCTTCGGGCAAGGGTTCGTCCTCGTCAGACGAATCATTTTCCCGCCCTTTTGGAGTGGATGACCGCTCGCTCTCCAACTTTCTCAGGCGAGCTTCTATCTCCAGGAGTTCATCGTTTCCCGCAAGGTTTTTTGGGTTCTTGATGAGATCTAGCATCTCTTGCTTTTCGAAGGTCGCCCTCCCGTCTCTGAAATTACCTTATTTAATTAGAATCTGTCATGTCTAGTGGGTGACTCACTTGATCTTACTATCGAGAAGAATCTTGTTACATTTACCACCACGATGTCCTTCTTCACAAACTTCTTAGGCACCATTATCTGCAACAGCTGTTTGATTCCTAACCCCATTGCTCCTATCATTACGAATCATGCGAGCACGATCAGTACACGATAGAGAGCAATTGATTAGGAGACAACATTAATGAAAGCCTCTGCAGGGTTTGAAACTCCCCTATCGCCATTTCACTGAGGGTGAGGCTATTTAACACTCTGCACAAGGCTAAGTTGCAGAATGTCTCTGTGGGGCGCCAGGCTCCCCTATCACCACTCCACCGAAGGTGATGCTGGGAGCCAGTACCTCGCACGAGACATGGTTGCTAAGCACCTCTGTGGGGCACTCGGCTTCCCTGTAGCCACTCCAGCGAAGGTGAAGCTGGGAGCCAGCACCTCGCACGAGGCTGACATGCGAGCGTACTTTGGTATGACCCAAAGCTCATTCACCAATGGCGTCCAGGCCGGATCATTGAGGTTCCCCGTTTACAGGGCGGGAGTATCGGCCCTCCGAAGAAGGCCCACTCTACCACAACCACCTCAGGTGGAAGAGCTGTTGGGGGCGACAATGGCGTCCTAGCTGGATCATCAAGCTTCCTGGAAACCAGGTCTCGAGCGTGCACTTCCTCCGAGGAGGTCATGCACACCCCTAGCTACCATTGCCTAGAACTTTCAAACAATAGAAGTGTTCTTTTAAATGGCGTCGAAGCGTGATCATTAAGGTTTCCTGAAGACCAGGTACCGGGTAAGCACGCTTTACAGCTGTGCAAACCCATAACCACCATTATTGAATTTTAGCCTGCTGGCCTAAAGCCGTTGCCTTCCGCTTTAAGGCCACATCTACCCGAAGGAGACGCGGTCCCTTCTAGCCTTAGCCGAGCCAACACTGTACCGGGAGTGTATACAGGAGGCAGAGACGCGTTCGTTCATCTTGCTTGCATCAGCTATAGAGAGCCTATACATGGGCCGGTTCATTCATGCCAGGCACCTTCTGCTCCCCGTCATTTCCGTATTTAAGTTTTCAGTCTTGTTGAGAAGGAAATCTACCACGCTGTCGTCATCACAGGCCTCCCAACACCTTCAGGTGATACTCAGTCTGAGATGTACTGACTTGCTATGGCCCGACGATCACAATTCGGCCGCACCCCGCCGTAAGTCAGTAGCCAGTCTATACGCATCGGCTACATGTCCCGCAACCACAAGAAGTGGTCCAATGATGCCGGTAAGACCAGTGTGAGAAACTGCTTTAGCTCTCGCGCACACTGCTTCCGACATGCCATGGCCTAACACTTATTACACTGAGCATGATAAGTATCCAAACAGAATGCAACACCCTTCAAAGGGGTATCTATAGCCACCCTGCAGCACTACATAGTCCTAACAGCCTTGCTATTACACTCTTACATTTTCGCAAAGCTCCAACATTTTCAAATATTGGCAAAATCAAATCTGCACATAACGATACCCATTTTATTCATTTGTGAACGTGAACACGAAAACTCCTTCATCGCAAAAGTGTCCACTCCCATCATCACATCCTGACCAAGTTCTGTGAAGTAATACAAATCGGACCTGTTCCGGCGCACAGGGCCAAAGAGAAGTGCCAAAATTTTTAAGAGAAGATCTCATGTTTGCATAGAAGACAGATAAATGAGAAAACGAAGTGGATCCATGCTGATCTACGGCTGACAGCATGAGGAAGACGTGAGCTAAATCGACGAGTAGACGTTTTGTCTCGACCGCCGCTCTCTTCTGGTTTAGAGAGGGACTCTCTCAGAAAGACCCCACCCGCCCCCCCGCCCCGCCCCCCCCCCCACCCCCCGTCTCTCAGGAAAGGAGGAAGCACTGGCGAGCACGTCGCACTGCAGTCCGCGTGGAAATAAGACGACTGAGATTACAACTTCTCATTGACACTAATTCTTTTCACTGAAATATGCAGGCCCCAGATCTGATAAACCTGAACGGGTAAGCATTACTATACCTAACGAGCTAGACTGTTGAATCATACCTATGATAGATCGAGTAAGATACCGCTATTCCTAAAACAAGTCCTGTAAAGCTCAGAGGAACACCGCTAATACAACAAGTGAGTGCGGGGGAAGCCCGCTCAGATTCCGATACAATCACGAATGATACAGGACGAAGAGGTAGTGAAAGCGCTCTACTATCTAGGTGTCAACCTCAGTGCAAATGGAACATCGGGGTACTCCAATTGTCTGACGAACAAAGGCAAATTTCTATGACGCCGAGCCTTATCACGGCCTAATATGCTAATATCGATGATTCATGGGTAAGAGAGCTTGAATCGGCAATTCTTGACAGCAATCACGAACCATTCGCGGAGTTTTCGACCTCCTCACTAGGCATCTTCCAAACATGGTAGACCTCGAAGAAGTTGTGACCGGATGATACTGCGAGCCGGATCGATCACTTCAGTCTCCTTCACTAACGAACGACACGCCACGTGTCAAGCGAGTAACCAATCGTTACGTCACAAATAGAAAAATTGAACAGTAGACCTGGATTAAACGACATACATTATCAGTCAGTGAAGCATTTGGCCCTCCGGCTTCACATGGCCCTCTCCTGCGTCTTAAGTGCATTCTCACCCTCCGTGATCCGAGGACGAACAGCTAACGCTGCCGATGACGCCACCTCCTTGGAGCCACCGACCTTTTCACGGTTTGGGTTCCTTCGAACGGCCAGGCTTGTTTGTTTTACGCGCTTTATTAGAAGCACTGATTTTCTCTCTCTCCAATGGATCTAATCGATCTCGTAACTCCCTGAATGCGTCGTTGAAGATGATCCAATTTCCAGCAAGCATGGCCAAGTCGTCACGATTGAAGGACACAAGACCGTTGCTGAAATTAAAGGATTTGTAAAGTATCGGAGTTCCAGCTGCTCACTTACATGATGCAACCAACGTTGAAACAACTTCTTTGCATCGCAAAATACTACTTTCGCTTTCTGTCCTCTGGCCGGGAAGCATGCTGTAACCCATGAGCTTATTAATGGATCGTCAGTTGCATCTTTGCGCATCCCAAAATGACGACCTGCATCGACAAACATGCTTTTATTCCAGCTCACAAAACAAGAAGATCTCAAGAAAGCGATTCTGAGAGATTGGTCGAGAGACAACCTATCGACGTGCATGGCGGCACCGGCAACGATATGCAGAACAGTGTTAGCCAACTATCCAACAATAAGATGGGGGAACATCCACAGCCTAACAGTAGGCTAGGCCCATGCAACTCTGCACATAGACGATACCATTTACTTCATTCTGTGAAACTTCGCGCAACATTCGAAAACAACTCTATCATCGAATGGTAGATCCACTGTGAAGGTCGCGGCATCGATCTCTCCATCCGCAACATTCGCCAAAATCAGCGCTGCGGTGGCTCTCCATTTCCTGCAAATCACGAATTGCTGTTCCCAATTTCGCTCTCATCCTCCCGCCTGGCATGCACGCAACGGGCTTCTTTATGATGTCTCGCGAGTCACAAAACCTCGAAGGCGGATCCTTTGAGGATCAGATGATCCCGATGAGGGTTATCATACAGCAGTACCGGCACCTCCGTTTCTCCCTGCTGCATCTGCCCTTCTCGCAGTTTTGCCCAAGCAGAAGCTGACAAAAAGTGAGGTCCAAGGTGATTTGATTCACATTATGTATTCCAGAACCATATGACGTAGAGATAGAGTCAAACTCAACCACTGTATTCTTACCTGCTTTTCAAAGCGACTGCGTGCCCTCTGACTGTGGATTCCCAGTTAGTAGTTCAGGGACAAACGGAATCTCGATAAATCACATTCATGGTTATATGTTTGTTATTGTCTTTATGGCCAACTCCTGTCGGCGCATGAATGGAAAGTGAGCATTACCCCTGTAAGGGAGGCCCCCCGCATGTTTAACAGGGGCTGACAAGCCCTCCCTTGTACTGCAGCACTTTCCTCAGGTGCTTCATGCCTGATATGTCGTCATTGGACGGCTGTGCACTTGTATGTATTCATTGTTCCCAAGCACAGCACACTTTCCAACTCTTCTCTATGATCGCCTTAGTGCTATTAGGCAGCTTAAGCAATCAGACGTACTCTCGTAGATAGGGTGAGCATTCGCCACAAGCCCGAATCACGATAAGTAATCGACTTATGTCCTCCATTCCATGCTGTGCTTGGAGTCTGGCCTCAGATTTGGACGCAGAAGCGATAAATCCTCTGGTCTCGTCCGTCTTTCCGGAAGGCAGCTATTCATTCCATATTTGCGGATCTTTTTGAGCTCTTGGCGAGTGATCCTTGTGAACCATGAGACCGAATCTCAATGATCCAAATCATTTTATCCTTCAGGTCCTTGACTACTATGTCAGGCCTATCGCGTCAGAAGTTTTCCCTCGTTAGGATGCGGCCACCACTTGGTTATACCCATTGACCTTTTGGCGAACCGCAAGGTCGCTGAGCATAATCCTTCGGGCTGCGGCCAACGCTTTTTCTCTAGTACGAGACCACAGTTGATCCACACTTACAAGAGCGTTTTGTTCTGCTCCTAAATACTTGTAGAGCGAACTTGAACCTAGGACAGGTATCTCTTCCATCCCAGGTGTTGTGACCAGTGGCGGGGGGTGGTTCAGTGAATTCACAGCACACTTGCTGGGATTCATTCGAAGTCCTAACTCTCCAGCCACTTTCTGGATGCCCTCTTGGGCTTTCACTATATCATCCCACCTGGGCGAGTAAACCATATCATCCCATCTGGGCGAGTAAACCTTTAGATCATCCATATAGAAGAGATGGTTGATCTCTAGAGGTCCTTCTGGCAAAGTCAGAGCTCCAGTAGATGTTCTATACGGGCTAACGTTGTTACGTAGCCACGCCGATATAGGAGCTATGGCCATACAGAAGAGGAGCGGACTGAGGGTATCCCCTTGCATCACTCCTCTTCTTACCCCTAACGGTTCACTCTTGACCATTGCCATTTTGACGTCCGCAATACCTGACGCTTTGCTTGGACATGATAACCGAGAGCAGCCTCCTTGTAGGGGAGGCCACTCCGGCTCTTGCCAAGATCCACTTAATAGCGCCATGAGACACGGAGTCGAAGGCTTTGGTCATGTCTACCCATAAGGTGTGTAGTACGTTTTTGCGCCTTAAGGCGTCTTTACAGATAGTCTGATCCAAAATGTGCGCATGGGTGCAGCCCCAGATTCCTTTGCGCAAGGCAACCTGCTCCGGAGGGAGCACATCACCAGCGCTCAGGAGTATCTGTTGCGCTACCATGGCGGTCAGGACTTTGTAGCATGTATTTAAACATGCTATCGGACGGAAGTCGCCGGGCCCGCGGGCGCCGGCGCTCCCTTTTGGAATCAGAACTATCTTCCCTCTACACAACCAATTAGGGATGATTCTATGAGGCATACGTAGCGCATCAAGGCACCACGATTTTAGCCTCTCTCTTGCCTCTGGTATTTTCTTCCACCAGAAGCCCTGTATGCCGTCTGGACCTGTTGCTTTCCAAGGTTTTATCTTAGCGAATATCTTCGCCCAAGTTTCCTCGGACAGGAGGATCCCCGCTGTCTTTCTCGCTGGCGTCTTAGGGCTTGCTCTATTGTTTTGATTTCAGAGTTTACAACCTTCAGCTGATCCTTGAATCTTATCCGGAGTCGCTGAATGTCCACGGTTGTATTGACTCTTTGTATTCGGGAAATGACCCGGTACTGTTCACTAGGAGGTCCCGGGGCATTTCCACTTCTTCTCCTGAGTTCGTGCGATAGCGTCGAGACGACACTCACGAGGGTGTCTCTCAGTGCTTTCGCCTCTCTCAGTTTCTGGTGAGTTTTACCCGCTTTTTCAGCCTCGCCGTCCAACAGGATCGTTGTGATGGCTTTGGCGATGGCATACACTGCAGCGTTCAAAGCTGTCAGTGTGCGCTTATTGGTGGAGTTAGTGTGCCCCAGCTTCTCTGAAAGGATTTCATTTG